TTCATATTTAATCTTTCCAAAATAACTAATAGCTGATTTATTTTGATGTACAATAAAATATTCCCCTTTAATCAGACTTTTACTCAGTTTTTGGGAATTCTCAGCATTAGAAATATGAAAATTCGTGAAAATACCTTGATTACTGTAGGATTATAATGAAAATCAAACAAGAACAAATGTTCTGCACCATGAATATGAATTAAACTGGAGACATTTTCATATTTTGTCCAGATTTGCTGAGAAGTCTATTAAACTGTTAATATCAGATTTTATTAATTAGCCTCTGAGCATCAGAGAACATTTAATAATTAGTCATTTCATTTGCTCAGTGAAGTGATTTCTGGAACAAAATTAGGCAGAAATAATTGTCTCAGATGTCTCTGAACTGCTCCAAACAGCACCGGGTGTAAAATGACATTTCCTGAAACATCCCTCTCTCACTCTAACTGGGAACACTGGTTTTCATGTTATGATTTTCTGTCCTTCACTTTCCATTGATACAACCTTTTGGAAATAAAGTCTCGGGATTTGCATTTTGTTCCCTCCTCTTTAACTTTTGTTAAATCAGTCAAATGTGGACAGAAAAGCACCAAAGGATGCATAAAATGTGACTTCTTATGCGGGCGTGCACTGGAACTGAAGCTGACGGTGTCATGAAAATGTCACGTTTCACCACATTGTTATTTTAGACTTGTCCTCTGTCTCTGTTTCACTAATCAGGGACAGCTTAGATTCTGCAATCATCTGATCATAAAAGCAGCTGCACTCCTCAGAGCAGTTGCCAGATTATGGGTCTTTGTCACAGCGCTCCAACATTCCAGTGCTCCACACATTCCGACTGTTTCACAGAATTATGGCCCTTTGCTGCCCACCTATCTCCTCATTGGATGTTACCCGGCAGTTTGAGTTTTGAGCCTGAATTTAAGCATCATTGCTTATCAACCTTTGCTGACCCTGTACCTGGATCAGGATTAGGACTCACTTGTTGTCTCACTGACCCACACACCAACCCGAGCCCTTTCAGGTGTATCAAAGACTGAAAACTCACAGTTTCTTCATGGTTGTGTTTGGTGTAACTGGTCCCTGGAATAGTGGGGAGAGTGGTGATACGGAGCATATCGTGAAGCAGTATAATTACCTGGAAGTTACGAAAGTAACACTAAAGTAGCATATCAGTGATATCACCCATATTTGCCTGCAATTTATTTCTCTGGTTTGAAGTTTATTCAAGCCATTCTAAGTAAAAAACAGCATGCTTCATATGAGGATGGTCGATATCGGCTTTGTTATTGATATACCGATACAGTCTAACTCTTAATTTCTGATACTGATACAATCTGATACCTATATGTGCAGGGTCCTCCCTCATAAAATAGAGAAAAGATAAACCATTGTAGGTAACTAGCATCACATATCTCTTAACATGCATATTTAAACTTTAAACATTGTCTGTGCAAAATATGACTTCAATTTAACTTTGGCAGGTTGTTCCAAGCACAGAAAAATATCCCAAAGACTTTACTTCAGTTATATCAGAGAGGAGCAGTAGCTGAAGAGTTTGATGTTTGATATGAGCGTGGTATGTAAAAGTTAGGGTAAAATCCAATGCTGATCATTTCCAATATTACATTTAAATGCCAACATTGGGGCCTCGGGTAGACCTTGGCTACTCTGCTGTCCCATCACTGGGGAGGGGGAAGTCCAGGAGGGGGAGGATCCAACCTTACTTGGATGTCCTATGTCTTATATATTCTGGATGTTGTGCAAATGCAGGGATGGGAGTAGATATTCTGCTGGGATGGGGCTGGGTTGGTGCCCTCTGACTCCGTGGGGCTCTGTGATGCTACTGCTTTTGGCCCTGGCAAGATGGGTGGGGGTCTCCATGCCCTGGGTGGCATTTTGGCAACAGAGGTGCCTATTGGGACCAGTGGGGGAGCTGGCTCCCCGGAATGGTTAGGCCAACCAGCCATTCCTCCCCATCCCCACACATTTTTCTCCTCCTGCTCACTCACATTATCACACAAACATGCACATAGGACCTTGGGGGGTGGGCAAGTCAGGGGGTGCAGGTATGGACCCCATTTCTGCATTCCTGTGGCAACCTGCCCCCCCAGTTTTGTTTGCACCTTAAACACTTCCACCAACGACATTCCACGCAAACACACACTTAGGGCCTTGGGAGTGAGCACATTCAACGGCATTTGGCAGGGGATTTTTCAGCTTCATCCCAAGTGCCGGTGCCCACTTCCAAATTTAAACTGCACTTAGACACCGAGGGCTGTGGGTGCAATTGGGGTGGTGTGGTGGCATCTGCTGGCATAGGCCAGACGATGCCTGCACTGCCTGCTCACCACAGCCATGGAATACACCTCGTCAACACGCACTAACACTATATTGGAGCAGGCGGAGGGAGACTAGAGGTCTTAGCACACCTCTGTAGTTGCTTTGCTTCCTGGGGCTGGAGGCTAGGAGGGGGATCTGGCCATCTGGTTGGGGTCTGGGGTGGTGGGTTGCTTTGTTCACCGTTGGGCGGGGGAGCCTGCTCATCAGCACCCCAGCAGAAAGGGTTGAACTCTGGGAACCGGTGATGGTTGTACCCCATGAGGGGGGCTGGGGCTTTTCTGGTTGCGGTCTCCCTGGGGTCCCTGTGCTCTGGTGCAGCTCCTGGATCTCTGGGACTTGGAGCTCCTTCCATCTCCTACACATCTTTGGGGGGCAGATCTGTGGCCCCTCACACTCTATTGGACGCTCCTGTAGAGAAACCTTACATATACAAGCGCATGTCACACAGGTGCTCACATGGTGCTCTCAAAAATATGGACTTGGGCACGTTCAACACATGTCTTAAGGCTGTGGATGGCACTAAATGCACTGTGAATTATCATTGTGATTGTTCAGCAAAACAATGTTAATTTCATATTTCCTCATCAAGTTGACGCAGTGACAGCTTGCTCCTGTTGTATTGCTGTGTGTCCCTTTTCTGCAGGTCTAGAAGCAGACCCCTGTTCATCATTGATTGTTTATCTTTATGCCCCACCCCCCCACCCCCCGTCTCTTCCTTTCTCTTTCACCTCTGTCTCCATGTCTGATCGGAATTACAAAGCATTCAAAAACAATAACAATAAAGTTTTAAGTATCAGGCTTGACATTAAAAGCAGAAGCTTTGATGCTCCACCTGAGAGTAAATATGTAAGGCTTGTCACCAGCATTCAGATATCAATCCTCTTTCTGTTTATAGTCTTGCTGTTAGAGTTCTGAACTCCACAATTGATTCATAATTCACTTCACACATAACTGTGATATCAAGTTGTTGGTTATTGATAGTAGAATGTGATGTTTTTAGAGCCATTTGCTTCTAATTCATCGTTAGCATCGTTAGCTCAACTTTAGCCTCTTGCCTTTTTTTTTACCCAGTATTAGATTAAAACATAAATATGTCATGGCTTCTTAAGGTTACAATAAATATCTTCTGTGTCGCTCCTGTTTTCTGGCTTCAGTTCTCAGTCCACTGCTGCCGAATTATAAATGCTGGCGCAACAGACGTCAGGTCAGCGTTAGCTCGGTAACACAATGACTATCTTCCTCCCTAATCTTTTCGAAAGATGAAAAACTGACAACCCCCCAACTGGCTGGGGAGGAAATCTATTTCAATGCAACCTTCCTTCCAACAGGGTGAGGCACTAGACTGTTTTGTGATTATGTCTCTGTAAAATTCTTACATGTTGCTCCTTTAAATACATTCCTTTTCATATAACATATAAAATAGGAATATTTGAATGTTTTTATCTAATGAAATATTAAAAAAATGAAGTGTAATCAACCAAGAAGCATTTACTATCATTGTTGCTCAGATTTGCCACAGTAAATGTGTTGCTTGTTTCACCCCACATTCAAAGTGTGACAACGAGCTCGTTTTGCCGCCAGCCACGAAGATCTTTTTATAAATGGATCAGAGGCGCATCCTGTCAACCTGGGACAGGATAAATGAGTCCATTGTGGGGGACAGTGACAGCAGGGAGGCACAAAAGGCATCAAATGGAGTTGTGCAAACAGCTTTCATGGCAGGGAATTATCATTTCACCAGAAGGTAACGACCCACTGAGCCCATGCTGACATTTAAATTAATACTTCAAGTTGATTAGATGAAATATGTAAAAATATTTGGCCCATTCATCTGACGCACCAGTCAGCAGAGAGATCTGAGAGCTCAGTTAATAATATAAAACAAAGATATGGTGGTGAGTTCAATGCTGCTGCCCAGTTCAATTAATGTGTCTCATTTAATAATATGAGGAGATTTACGGCCAATATGAGAGATTCCATGACTTCAACCACATTTCTACATCGATTTGTGCCTTTAGATGAAGCTCCAAAATAACAGTCTCAACAAATTCATTACAGAACTCTTAGAGCAGAAGGGACTCAGAAAGTGTCAGCTTGTGGACAAAAAAAATCAAAGTTTACTTTGAAGTAAATCATAGAGCAGATCACTTTTACAGGAAGGAACAGTAACAGCTTGTGTAAAACCAAACTCTTATCAGGGGGAAATAATGGGATGAGGATTTGATCATCCATCTGTTTTACCCAAAGCAAGGATAAATGTTCTATCACACATTTATTATGGTGACTTATTGATGATTTGGTTTGGTACAAACTCTAAAACATTTGATCTATTTCTAATATTAGATTTGATCTTTTATGAAATGGAATAAAAGCTAGGCTGCACAGTGACGCAGTGGTTAGAGCAAGGAGGTCCTGGGTTCACTTCCCATGGGATCTTTCTGCAGGGAATTTGCATGTTCTCCCTGCGCATGCATGGGTTCTCTCCGGGTGCTCTGGCTTCCTCCCACAGTCCAAAAACATGACTGTTAGGTTGATTGGTCTGTCTAAATTGCCCTTAGGTGTGAATGTGCGTGTGCATAATTTTTTGTCCTGTGTGTCTCTGTGTTGCCCTGCGATGAACTGGCACTCTGTCTGGGGTGTACCCCGGCTGATTGCTCGTTGACCGCTGGAGATAGAAAAGGCCATGGATGGAAGGATGGATGGAATAAAAGCTTTTTAGACTCTTGTTTCAGACATAATCTAAGTATTTTATAGACATTGTTATCAGAATAAGTCAGGACAAATTCACAATATGGATTAAAATTTTAGCTGTAACCTGTAGAAACACTGTTCAAATTCGTTTGTATTAACAATCTGTTGAGAAATTAATGGAAGAATACTCTTTTATCAGTGTATCTATGGCCACAACTGCAATGAACATAAACAACACTTCATTAACATTTATATTCTAAAGTATTTTAGCAGAATAGAGTGAATAACAATACAACCAGTTAAAAAAACACTTCTTTTATGTGTTCTGTTTGTGTTGATGATGTTTCTCTCAGCTTGACCCGAGGTTGTTTTGAATTTTTCATAATTTCACATTGATTCACCCTGCTTACTGACTTGTTTTCTCCAGGATTAAAACTCATTTAAGGGTCAGCAATAACAAGCTCAGGACGCCTGTGTAAATGGGACTAAATGTACCGTGGAAATCTGGGGCAATGTTTCATTTTGTGGAAATGTTTTACACTCATTTTTAATTAAAATCCAAATTGGGGTCCAAAAAGGTTCGCGTGGACTGACAGAAATGGTCAGAAAATGACCCAAATCGTTTCTTTTTTATAATTTCTTATATTAATAAAAATTATTTGCCATTTGTTTTTTATATTTTTCAAATATTTATACACAAGATTAGTTCTATTGTACATGTGCTGTATTATTAGAGTTAAACGTGTGTGTGTCTTCTGAGCAGCTACTGGCTTATATAATCAACATGTGGAATGAAGACAGACCCCCTATAGCGGCCAGAATCCGGTTTTCGGGCTAAAGTAACGCTCCCACTCTTTGGCAGACAGAAGCTCGCAGAGAGCTGACGGCCACTCTGATTGATTACAGGGTTTTAGAGACCTATAGGTGCTGCTGCTGCTGGACGAGTGCGCAGCCATGTGTGGCTGTGACCGTGTGGTGTGTGTCGGGGCTCTGCTGCTCCCCTCCCCGACTCGACTCCCTCCTCTCAGTCCGCTAACAGTCCAGCAGAAGGTGGGTGCTGAGCTCGGTGCGCCCGCTGGTCCGGCAGGAGCGCAGCCCTGTGAGGAGGGAGCCCGGTGAGGTATAGCTGGAGCTCGAGGAGAAGAGGCGCGCGTGCCGGCTTCAGGTGATCCAGCTGCAACTTGGCCACTCGCTTTAAATTCTTAAAATCTGAAGATCATATCTGGCAGCTTTCCGAACACCCTAAGTCTGCGAGCTTTAAAAGAAATCTGCACGCGCACGGTGAGTAAACCAGACCATGCATTAAATTTTTTTTATTTAAAGTTAAAGATTAATAAATAAATTACTGAATTTATAAATTTTATATATATATATATATATATATATATATATATATATATATATATATATATATATATATATATATATATATATATACATACATACAGGGAGATGTTCAAACCTGGATTGAAAAATCACAATTGATATTCTAAAATACTTAATTGTGACTTGCTAATTGTATTTAATACCATCTGCAAAAAGACATCAAATGTTCAGTCAGGATCTTATCATTTAAACTATAAACCAAGTCATTTGCCAAGAAACCTCAACAGGAGGACTCTCACAGAAGAAGATGTCAAAGCGTTCCTGTTTTCTTTTTTAGTATTGTTTGTTCGCACCGCTGTGGGACGCTCAGCCCTAACCAGACTCTGGTGTTTGTTTGTGTTTCTTTGAACAGATTTGATCACATTAGTGTGAAACACTAAAGGTGCTAAGAGAAGGACGAGCGAGGTATGCATGAGGTTACCATCCTTGAAGGTGAGAAAGTCCATTATTGTGTGGTGGTGAATTATCGGGAGCAGCCAGCTTTTCCCCTGAGGAATAAATGTGAAAATGTTCTACAAGATCTGCACTGGGACAAGAACAGCATTATCAGCTGACTCACAGGACATAGTTAAGGTTGGAGACACATGGATCTTCAGAGGTGTTTACCCAGTTTCTTCAGAGAAACCCAGAGCATCATCAAACTAGGATGTGGAACCTGATCTGAGGTTTCTACCTTCTTTTTTTTTGACATTTTGTATGTTTTCTTAGTTCTGAAGACAACATCTTACATTCCTTTTCTTGCCAATTTGCTTTATGTTTATTGTGTTTTTGTTTTCCGCTGGGGAAGCAGCATGGATTGGAGCCAGAAACAGCATTTGGGGTTGAAGTCCAGCTTCCCACCTCTACAACAGGAAAAACTCAACCACACCTTCAGCTTCCACAGCGCTCTGATGCTGATGTCCACTTTGGACTCCCCTACAGTTCCCCTCCGTCAGCCCCTGCCCTCTTCTCATCCTCCCTACTCCTCCCTCATCTCCTTCCCTGCACTGTCCACTGCCTCCTCCTCTGCCCTAAATGATCCAACCTCCTTTCCTTTGATCCTCTCCAACATCTCGTCTAATGATCTGGCTGATCTGGAGAAAATGCTGCTCTGGACCCTCCATGAACCCAGCACCATCGCTCTGACCATCATGTACTGCTTGTCTTTTATTCTGGGATTTGTTGGGAATCTAATGGCGCTTCGGGTTCTCACCAGCAGGCGCAGTCGGCGGCTTGCAGGAGTCAGTGCCACCCGTAATCTCCTGGTAAACCTGGCAGCATGTGACCTGGCTGTGGTGTGTGTGTGCATGCCCATCACTCTGGGTAACCAGATCTACACCACCTGGGTCTATGGTGACCTCTTGTGCCGAGCCGTGCCCTTCACGCAGGCCATGTCGGTCTCGGCCAGCGTGCTGACGCTAACGGTGATCAGTGTGAATCGTTATTACAGCGTTCGATCTCCACTCAGAGCTCGGTCCATGTTCACTCGGCGGAGGATCTTGGTGACTATTGCTGTAGTGTGGACAGTGTCCTCCATGATGTGTGCTCCAATCGCAGTGATGAACCGGCGGCAGGAAATCAGCTTTGAGACCTTCACCATCTTGGTCTGTCAGGAGGAGTGGCCTCGTCATCGCCTTAAGCAGGGGTAAGTCCTCTGACTGATACAAATCACGCCAAAGATTAATCATCAGATTTCAGCCTTAACATTTAGATTTAATTCATCCAAGGGGTATGATAGTGTGAGCTGAGCCAGTCAAAAGTGCTGCAGGGCTGTGCGTGGGAATGAGCATCAATCACTTGTCATTTTTGTACTTAGCTGCTTTGTTCCCCATAAATATCTCTTAATGATAGAGTAGGCATGCTGAAAGGAGAAGGAATTATTCTGATTGACTGTTAAGTATGTCCAGTCAGTGCATAGAGATCCAATCTGTAAGTAAAACAAGTTTAACCTGCATACATGAGGCTGACTGGCTTTGGTTCATCAGCATCTCAAAATGACTCCTATGACGTGAGTTTATACATGAATTTACCTGTCATGCCGTTACAGCTCCACTTGCGTTAGTTAACACCAATACCATCAAGACCATTCTCTTGTAAATGTGCTGCTAGTAATAAGAGCTAATGTTTGATAACTGGATCAAATGTGTGATCCTCACCATCACCAGGAACCATAATACCATGTTTATTATATAATAAACAATTTATGTAAGTGTAGTTTAAATGAGTGAAAATGCCAAACAAGTCTTTTGAAAACACTTTACACATAGAGAACCAAAGGGTTCAAATGAAGGCCACTGGACTTCATCCGAGGAGCTTTATCAATTCTGACTGGAATATATCAGTCAAGTTTCTAAACTTTAGCTGTCTGTTGTTCCTTAATGAGCTCAAACTACCTATGAATACCCCTCCCCCCACCCCCCAAAGAGTCATTGATGTCATTATGTCCTATTGTGTTAGAATGGTTGTATTGATTAGATACAGGAGGATGTGACCTAGACTGAAAATGTTTTGGAATTAAGTTTAAAGCTGCATGCCTCCCTCTCTGTATGATGAAGGTATTTCCCATTTAACATGTGTGCAATCTAATCTAATCTAATGTAATGTAATCTAATATAATCTAATATGATATAATATAATGTAATGTAATGTAATGTAATGTAATCTAATCTAATCTAATATGATCTAATCTAATCTAATCTAATCTAAATCTAATCTAATCTAATCTAATCTAATCTAATCTAATATGATATAATATAATGTAATCTAATCTAATGTAATGTAATCTAATCTAATCTAATATGATATAATCTAATCCAGCGGTTCCCAAACTTATTTAGCCGCGCACCCCCTTCTATGTCCCGACCATGTCGACGCACCCCCCCCCCCCCCCCCAGCCCCCATGTCATGGCATGGATATATATATCAGATGTCAAGCTAAACAGACAGGGTTAAAAAAATTCCCCATCACTTTCATTTTTTAAATAGTAATTAATAAACATTCGATACCATTACAATTTCCTTTGATTTCATTTTAAATAAATATTTAGAGTGCCCAGGTAGCACATAAACAATGCAATTTAACGGTTTTCTTAAAGTAGGAACGTTTAACCTGTGCGGCCAGAGCGCTCTCCTTCCTTCTGCTCTGCATAAACCTGAGCTGATCACCTACTTGTGCGTAATCAAATGTCAATAGGGGACAAGATATAGCCATGATGTTCACTTTTGCCTCAGACCGACTTATTGCTGTTTTATGGTGTGGCTGAATCTGCGATCCGCTGCCACGCTGACTGGAATAACAAATGCTGCAGTAACAGGAGTTGTGGTCAGGTTCATGAGGAGTCACTGGCTGGAGCGGACCCGACTCATCCCAGAAGCTAATATCTTAATTTGACCTTGAATGAAAAATAACCTCTTAAAAGTTTTTATTGTGGTGGAGGCAGCGTTCATTTCTGCCTTCAGTCTGACTGCGCGCCGGAGTTAAAGCAGTGTGCGTGCTTATGGAATCTGTGTGTGCGCGCGCATGCGCGCGCGGCACAGCCGCTCAAGTCACCGCGTCTCGTTATTGGCACTATTTAAACTTCTGCCCAGCCCAGATGTGCTCACATGTGCACCCGTGAGCCGTGGTTCCGCTGGAACGTGTCTGACCTCTGACAGACGCACTCTGAACTTCAGATCTTCAGCGCGCTGTCAATAGCCTGAATGGGAATCATTTCTTGTTATTTTGTTACATCCACAATGTTCTGTGTGTGAGGTTTACAACGTCAGAGCACCTGCATGAGACAGGGTGTTAATTACAATCTGCCAGAATTACTCGCCACCTTCAGATTTCTTCAACACCGTTAAAAATGATCAAATACAGAAAATATCAGCGTGCGCAGGCCAGAGTGCTGAAGCTCGGCGCATTGTTATTTTGAAGCTAGGGCACATGTGGAGGACACGCGCGCGCAAAAATATACTTGTTTTCAATTACATTTATTGTGCCCACTTACTTTTTCTTTGGCCCACCCACAAATGAGTTTCTACGCTAATGGTGACATATGACAGACTTCTCTGAGCTCCGCAGCCATTACACTTTTCACCTCGCGCACCCCCTAGCGGCAGCTCGCGCACCCCCAGGGGTGCGCGCACCACACTTTGGGAATCCCTGATCTAATCTAATCTAATCTAATCTAATCTAATCTAATCTAATCTAATCTAATCTAATCTAATCTAATGTGATATAATATAATGTAATCTAATCTAATTTAATTTCATCTAATCTAATCAACCATTCTAACACAATAGAACCCAACAACATCAACGAGTTGTCTGTGGCGATTTTGAAACCCTGAGAATCCAACATGTTTGATGGATGCGATTTATGACTGGAGTGGTTTTGACTTCCCTCTATATAGACCAGAGCATTCTTACAGTAGACATACAAGTTTCATATTGTTCTTGGTCTCTAGTGTGAATGAACGGATTTTGGAGTCATATTCATGATATGTGAACATCTCACCTCTGATTGGCTAACAGCAAAGCAACACTACCGCTGCCTCTGGTTGCTTCTCTTTCTTAGATTGAAAAATGCAACGTTAATGAATGAGTTTTGCAATGTTGTAGATTTGCTTTGCTAAAGGTTGGCTTCCACTAGCCAAGAGTCACTCTGCTTTCTCCTGGGCACTAAACCAACAACAGCCTTCTCTGGTCACAAACCAAGATGGGTGAGTCCATGAATGCAAATGTTACAGAGTGACGTAGATCTGTGTGGCTTATTCATTTATTTATTTATATATTTTTTTTTACCCAAATGCTTCCTCGTTTTTTCTATTGGCAGCTAACAGGAGTAGAAGACTATTTTCTTGTTGTGTATGCTGCGAAACTCAGAGTGAGTGATTGTATTTAAAAAAAAGAAATTTACAGCTAAACCAAAAGAATAAATAAAAAAAGAAATAAAAAAAACTAAAAAATATATATCAATTAAAATACATTAACTAATTAATCAAAAGTCTGAAAGAAAATTATCGCAATTAATTATAAATTTTTTTCCAGATAAGGCAAGCAATAAACATGCAAAAATATACAAGAGAGGTTAATTTTATGTAGAAAGTGCATAACTTGTTGAAGTGTGTAAAATCACTGAATACTGTCTTTAACACAGAAACCCTAAAATCAAATCCTGTTTCTGTTCAAAAACATTGTTTGAAAAAAGTCTATTGTGTAAACAATGAACAGGAAATAAATCTAGCTTACGTTATTCAACGTAAATGTCATTTTCCACAGCATCAGTTGAACTAGGATTACCAACTCCCCAAAAAATAAATAAGGGACACCTCTCTGGCATGGCCCCCAAATGCTTTGATATTGCCTTGGGTGGCACAGAGTTTTGAAGGTGATCTGAATTGTATGAAATATATGAATATCATGAGCTTATCGATAATATTTATTTTATAACATTAAAACACGTAGTGGAATACATCTACCTACATTTTCCTTTCCAAGCTCTTTGTTTTGTTTTCTTGACTATTATCCTGTCCTGTCTGTCCCTGATCCTGCATCAGCCACAGGGAGATGCGGGATAGTTCTCCAGAAAAAAAAAGCAGCCTGGTCACGGAGCACAGGTGATGAGCTCAGCAAGCAATGCACGTCAGGCATGAACAAAAGACAGAAAGCACCAGAGCAGCTATGAACGATCGTGTGTTAAATGTATTTTAGTGGCACTGCTTAGAGAATGTTACTGTGGCCGAGCACAAGACGCAGATGCCGGAGGATCTGTTCATCTTCTCCGCTCAAAATAATCCTCGATGCTGGGAGTCCATAAAATGGGTAGAAACTTGATCTTTTTCGGGCTCAGTAAATGATGGTTTAGCAATATTGTCCAGGGGGAAATATGGAGAAAATTTGGAGAATGGTGGCTCCGGGTTGGAGGGATGGTCAAATTAATTGCGTAATTTACTTTAAACACATTAAAATAACAAAATTAATGCTAATAATTAACGTGCTAATTTTCCCGTCTCTAATAAATATATATACATACATTTTTCAGTGAACCTTGTTTTTAACACACAGCCATGATGGATATCAGGCACATTCCTAAAAAGCTGGTTCACTGAGAAACCATTTTTTAAATGATCAGTCACTCTGAGTTTAACATGCAGGCTGAAAATGAAAATAATCATCCAGTCCTATTCCATGCATTAGCTGCTGATAGAAAATAGATGGAAAAACACTTGGTTCAGAAAAGCCTGACAGATCTATGTCACACTGTACCTTAGCATTCATGGACTCACCCATCTTGGCTCATGACAGGGAAAGCTTTTGTTGGTTTAGCATCCAGGAAACCGCAGAGCATATCTGGTAGAAGCTAACTGCTGGCATTAGCAACTCCACAACATGACAGAACTCCTTCAGGATTGTGTTATTTGTGGAGATGAAACATCAACATAGAAAAGCAAACGAAATTTCAGTCACGCTGCTGTTAGCCAATCAGAGATGAGATGTCCAGAACAAAATAAGATGCCAAATCCTGCCGTCTGTTGCCTTCTCCTCCAGCTGACTTCTACATACTCAAACAGCAGCGACTGAACTTTGTTTTCCTCCAGAGAAGGATTTACAATGTATTCATTCCTACTAAAGACCACAGCGAATGTATTCAAAACATCAGTGAACTTGAGCCTGAAAATTGTCAGAAGCTGAGAATCAGGTCAAAAATCAGCATGACTACCTTGCGTTGTGGCCTTGCTTATGAACCACTTATTCCCTTAAACTAATTTGTTGTGCACATTTTTCTAATATGTCCTAAAACACAAGACTAAAACCTGCAAGTCTTACTGTAAGAGTGGAAATTGAAAACCCTCAAGTGCACTTAAGACATTTTCTAAACTCTGTTGTGCATGTTGGGTACATGAGTACACCTTTGACCAACAACTGCAGTCCAGTGAGATACCAGTGGTCCAGATCCACCAAACAATCTTTGCAATTAAGATGAGATGAGATGAGACTTTATTGATCCCACAGCGGGGAAATTTGTGCATTAACATTCTTGTACTAGTAAAAGAGTACAAGACTGACCAAGTGTAAAAGAAACATAAAATAGGAATACAGTGCTCCCTCGCTACTTCGCGGTTCGTTTATCGCGGATTCACGACTTCGCGGATTTTTCTTTGGAGCCTTATTCAAGGGAAATTCGCCTATTCGCGGTATTTTTCACAGATTCGCGGTATTTTCTATGCGAAATATCAAGAAATTCCATTTTTTTCCATCAATTTCATCGTAAAATGCACTTTTTGTAATAAAACCATAAAAAACCAAGTAAAAATTTTTTTTTCTTGAGTTTTACCCACAAAAAGAGAATGTGATCATACAATAATTCAATATAGTCCTGTACTGTAAATATGGTGTCCCTACTTCGCAGATTTTCACCTATCGCAGCCAGGTCTGGAACGCATCTACCGCGATAAACGAGGGATCACTGTACACTATATACAACTGAAGTTTCTATATAGAGACGTATGTCACGCTCTTTCGCACTCAGCCGCCGTCCATCCTCCAGGACTGTTCTCCGGGAACTTCTCTGTGTTCCGGGGGGTTCATGCGCACGTGTCCTCGCAGAGACACCACCGTCCAGGGCGCGTCTCTGCCTCTAAGTCGGCTGTCATGTCTGCCGTTCCAGCTGCTCTCCACTCTGGCTCTCCTTCCTCAGCTCCTTTTAATAAGAGTCTAATGAGTCAATTATCCACACCTGTTGGTGTGGTACACCCGTGCAAGTGCAGCGGATAGTTCTGCTCCCCTCCCCGGTGTGCTGCAGCCTGCCCAACTTAGCGTCTCTGATGAGCGCCACTGGGGAAAAGAAAACTCAAACCACAATAAAGTAACGTAACAAATCATGCAAACATCAAAACAAAATCATGCAACCTAACCTAATAAAATTGACACATTACCTACTAGGGATGGGTACCTTTGACATTTGAATCGATCCGGTACTAATTCCCGGTACCTACGAATCGATACCGGTACTTAACGGTACCAATTTTCGATACTTTTGAGTGTTTAATATTTTAATTCTCTTTTATTATTAAATACTTATTTTTCTCAATATATAAGCATATTTGATAAATATCACGATAAATAACATACGACTGTTTGCATTTTAACATCGTCTTGTAGTTTTATAAGTTGATAATTAAACTGAAGCAAACATCTTTACTGTGAACTAAATTTACTGTGTACCTTCATTCCTTTTACCGTCCTTTTTCAATTGATTTTTCCTACTGGGAAGTTAGAATTTCCGAGGAGAAAGCGAACGCACCATGAGATGATAACAATGGTGGCATAAGAAGCTAACATATCAAGCTACGTTATCTTAAACAGTTTATTTAACTGCTAAAGCAGATTTAAACGATGATGCCTCACACTTAAATCGTTGTCACTGGTTTCATCTTCACCCAATCACCCGTCGCATTTAGTAAAGTGAAGCCAAACTTTAGTGCGTGTTCATGTTCTTCTAGTCGGAATTTCGGAGTTCCGAGGAGAAAGCGAACGCACCATTAGTGAAACGGAAGCTAACAAATCAAGCTAACGTTATCTTACATTTTTTTTACCTACTGGAGCAGATTAAGATGAGGATGTCTCACTTAGATCGTTGTTGCTGGTTTCATCATCACCCAGTTACCCATCACATTTAGTAAAGTGGACCCAAGCGTTAGCGTGCGTTCTTTCTACCATGCTGCTCTGTTTACAACTCACTCGCAGCGACCGACGACATAACGCTCTTGCGCATGCGCAGCTGTCTAGGCAAGTTCTCGTGAAGGACGGGTACCGAAACGAGGCACCGTTTCAAATTAAGTGAATTGGTGCTCGGTCGGTACTGTGGAATTCGGTCGGTACCTTAAAAAGTACAGAATTCGGTACCCATCCCTATTACTGTGCAACACATACATAGTAAGCATTATGAAGAGAGGGTCGTGAAACAATGTGCAAGTATTAATACATAAGTATCAGTTTTTCTGCTACAGCTATTTACTGTCCAAGTGGTAGATAACTGTAAATACAGGCGTAAACATGTAAGCACACATGTACAAATACATCTTAGTGACTAAGTGACTCATGACATCATGATGGGGCACAAATCCTAACTACTGTTGGAATGAATTATCTGATTACATCCACCTCTGACTGTTTATTACTGAGATGAATTTATCTTTTTACTAGTTCAAAACCAGTGTTTTACCAAAGCACGGCTTCCAGAGTTTTGCCCCAAAGGCAAAGAACGGACTCAGTGGAACATCTTTGGTGGCCACACCAACAAAAGCCTCTCTCAATCTCTGTTCTTCATCGCCGGTACCCACAAAGTTGTAAGAGCAATAAAACACAACTATAAATGTCAGTTCAAGTCAGGGTGAAACTAAATACATCAGGCAACAGTGTTAACATCCACAAGCACTTTGAAACATGGCTCTTGTCCACAAGCACCATAAATACATGCAGCCCCAGTGTGAGAAGTGTAAGGATGTTTTATGCATGAGAGAAAAAGAGAGAGTGTGTATACTTAAATATACACTAGGCTGGACCTAGCTGCAGTTTTGATGACTCATCGGTTTCATGTAGCTTCATAGACAAGTTCAGTGGCATCATCTGCATAGAAATGGAAATTTTTGCAATGTTTTCCTATAACTCAGAGAAAGATTGCAGAAAATGGTTCCTATAAAGTTATGACTTAAACGAGCCACATTCTCCTTTGGATAAACTGAGATCTCATTTCTAATCCATGCACTTTTCACTTGCAGGTACAACGTCTTGCTGTTTGTGATGCTCTACTGCCTGCCCGTGACCTTTAACCTCACTATCAGCTTCTTGACCGGCAGACGACTCTGGGGCGGGAGGAAATCCACTTTTGCTGATCTCGATCCTCGCAGCCAAGCCCTTCACACCTCACGCTTAAAGACGAGGCAGAAGATAGCCAAGATGGTGGTGTGTCTGGTGCTTCTCTTCGCCGTGTCCTGGCTCCCGCTCTACTTGGTGGATCTTTGGATTGACTGTGAACAACAGCCGTCCTCTTGGCTCCTGCAGACACGGCCGTTTGCTCAGTGGCTGGGCCTAACCAACTCCAGCCTTAACCCCATCTGTTACTGCTTCATTGGAGATTTGTATCGCTCAGCGAAGGTCATACGGACGCGGTACTACCAGAAAGTGGCTGCACTCTTCAGCACCTCCTCCTTCTCCAGCTCCGCTGCAGTGGTTTCACCTGCTGCAATAATCACAGAAACCAAAGGGATTTCAGTCGAGCGCCACCATTTAGCAGCTGCTGTGGCCACTTCTACATCTGTTGTTACCATCCCCAGACTGCTGGGCTTAGCCCGTCACCACGGACACAAGGTCCGGCACAGTTTGGACAGTGACATGGGATCAGACCACAGCATCTCAGACTGGTGCCAGTCCAGTCCCAGTGTGTGCGATAGCTCTTTATACCACTGCCAGCTTCACACGCTTCATCACTCCTTGAAAAAAACAGACTCCATGCCAGCCAGGAGACACTCTGTAAATGAGATTGCTGTGTCATTACCTTTACGAATTGAACCTGTGGAAATGGACCTGCTGCCACAGAGGAGGCATTCAGAGGAGCGAATATATGGCCTGCCACCTGATAAGGGAGAGATTATTAGCAAGGACAGAGACAGATTCTGTTACATTAAGCGGCACAGAAGCAAAACTTCACAGCTCTATTTCCTGGAAGGAAACTCGGAGAATAAAACAACAGACATGACGAGCCTATGAATGTCAGATTATCGGATGTATCAACAGGGAGGAATTTCCTCTTTTTGTTCTGCAGGAAGTGAAAATGCTCTGCTCCTGACTTGTGGTTTACAGCAGACAGAACAGATGAATCTATTATCAAACCACCTGTTTTTTGTGTGAATAAACTGACCAGCGCTTTGCACTATGTCTTTCTGCATCTAGAGTTCTTATAAGCTTTTGGGAGGAAGTGAAGGAAAAAGCAACCCTGCCGGGGAGCAGCTGGAGTGTTCTCAGGCAGTTGTCAGTAGAAGAGACGATTACAGCTCCGTGCTAAAACATAGAAGTCATATTGCACTCACAACAGCTCCTATCAACTGCTTGAGACAATAACACAGCAGGACTTAAAGTTTAATGACTTTTTGTGCAGATTTCATTTGTGTCTAATTGTGTTGCTAATGGCTTTGAATGGATTTGTTCGCTCACAGAAAAGGTCAAACCTTTTGTTCCATGCTGCATGCAAGTTTCTGATTTATGGGTTTTCACCATAGTACATGTCTGCTCTATGATGTTCTGCCGTCTGAAAAAAAGTTGCAAATAATCCCAGACATAAATGAAAACATGTGCAAGCTTTTTTACATTATTCAACGTGACTTTTGGGAACCATTAAAAAGAAGAGCTGCAAGAGGCTAAAGGCACCGACTTTTGGTTTTCATTTCAATATTCAGCAAGCAGCTGGAGGCCAGTAATGGTGTCCTTTATACTGGTATGTGATCAAATTATGCTCAATTCAGTCTGATTATAAAACAAAAAGATGAGTCAGTTCTTAAATCTACAGGAGCTTTAAATGGGCCAGATGACGCAGGTGGGCAGGATCAATGAAATACATACTATTTATAGATAATCTCAGAATGCTGGACTATACCCTGTCCAGTAAAGGTAGGGTCGAGGTAAAGCATGCATATTTAACTCATCCCTTTAGCCAAGTAAGGGGAATAAAGGAGCTGACACAAGCCTCTCTGAAAATGATCTTTTTGCTACATTTAATGCAAGTTGCTGAATGTGAAGTTTAAAAAGTTAAGTTTTTTTCACACGAAGAAGTTGGCGCTGACATGCAGTATTTAACAGATGAAGAACTGAGATTCTTTACAACATTGCCGTCATCAGCGGCAAGAGGTTCAGCTTTAAGTTATCCTTCATATTTAATCAGAAGACAGTCGGATTGCTTACACACGGTGGACAAACCAATAATTAAGTTCATCTTTGTTACGTTCATTCTGTGTTCTTTATCACCGATGTTGGTGATGTCACTTCCTCATCTTTGGTATGTTCTTACTGTGTTGCTTTTCTAACTGCATTGTTGGTTCTTTTTAAAACACAGAAAAGGTTTCTTTTTTACCTTGCTGCTGACAGTTTATGCAATAAAACATACATAGGAGAAACCGGACGCCAACTCAACACACGAACAATAGAACATAGAAAGGAGTGTGAGAAAGAAACAAGTCGAAGACACACAAGAGCAGCAAAACAAGAAGCAGAAAGCACAATGAAGAAGTCAGTCGTAACAGATCACTGCACGCAAGAAAATCATAAAATGGACTGGGACAACACAAGGATCATAAACACCGAACAACAGAAATACAAAAGATGGATAAAGGAAGCCCCTGCGATGGACTGGCTCTCTGTCCAAGGTGTACCCCGCCTGATTGCCCATTGACCCCCCCCCCCCCCCCCCCCCCCCCCCCCCGCACGACCCTACGTGGACTAAGCGGGTTCAGACATTGGAGACGTGGATGTGGGACTATGAACTGAGACGATGGGGTTTACACATTGGATCGCGCATGGGATTGCATCATCGGAGAGGGGAGAGCAGGCAGCAGAGGGCGACAACGTCCTCTGCTACCCGTGGATAAGCGAAGTAGGAAGTGACGCCACCATCAGCGTCAGCTCTGAGGAAGTTCGCAGCCGCGAACGAAACCATCAGCAGCAAGGTAAAAAATAAACCTTTTCTGTGTTTTAAAAAGAACCAACAATGTAGAAGTCACTTCCTTCCGTTTTTCTGATAAATGCCACCAACATCGGCCAAATCTCTGATGGAGGCGCCAGTGAGAGCCAAAACATGTCAGAAACGAAAGGTTTAAAGCGAGCTTTGTCTACTACTAAATAGAATCTAACAATTACATTTGTCAAGGAGTGACTCTTTAAAAAATTTGCTTAAAAATTTGGAAACAACCATATATTATAACTACATTTCATGGGTGCATATCATGGGGATATACCCCACCCACTTTATAAGAATGGTTCAGTGAGGATTTATGCTGAAGTGAGGTAGAACTTGCTGTAAATAGCTTTGTTGACCATACATTCCAATTAGGGGTGCGCCCTCTTAGGTACCTCACGATTCGACCCAGGGTCCTACATTTCACTTATTAAACAATTATCACAATTACCACTAGGGGTGTGAATCTTATAATCTTGATTTCTTACTACTGATTACTACATGTCAAAAGTAACTAAGTTAGATTAGAAGTTACTTTATAGATTACCTTTATTAGCTGCTACAAACTGTAAACATTGCCTCAACATAAAAACTAGCAAGTTTTGCAATGTTGATGCAATGCGTTGGGGAGAATGCTAACAGCTAGCATCCAACGACAGCCAAGTTTCGACACACTGATAAAAATTCGAACAGCACTGGGATCCCATTCCTTGGAATGGAATCGCTACTCGCAGTGCAAAATTACCACCAACCTAAATAAGCACCACCAGAACACCGAACTTAAGAAAAACAAGCAACAAGCGTCTGTGATGTAGGAAGCTGTGAATGTGATGACGGAGAGGAGTGCTCTGGAAGTCCATGCATCACTTGAAGTGATACAGTCCGGAAGCCATTGACTGACAAACTGTACGAGCAGCGAAAAAGCTAGAACATTTTTAGAAAATACCATCTCAAGTAACCAAAGTTGGAAATTTTGGATCGATTCAGAACCTTTAGACATAACAATCTCTTTAAAACAAACTCTTAACAAACTGCTTTAAAAAGGGATGCTGTTTATCCTACTCTCTAAGTTTTTTTCTTGGTTTAGCAGTATTATACTTGTTTTAATAAAAGAGGTATCCTGGTTTATGTGCATTTGGCATTTTGCAACAATTGAATGAAATGACTGAGTCTGAGGGTTTGCTTTCAGTCTATTTTTTCCAGAAGAACTTCAGTCTGAAGATTGTACAACTTGTCTTGTGCTATTAGGGACATATTGAATACTGAGAGGCCTGGAACCGACAGATAAGGGTTTTTGGAATCTTTTTATTCTAGTCACTTGTTCCCTCAAGCTTGATTAAACCTCAATGGAATCCAAATTGTGTTTTTAGCTGCACTCATTCTCCTATAAAATGAGTTACAGCACATTGCACAGACAGCCTTCACAAATTTGATTAGATAAAAAAGGTTGGTATGCTAATTTCTTTTATTAATCGTGAATAAAAGATAGATTTAAAACATCTAAATGAGGGGGGTTCATTGCTCTGTTATCTTCATGTTTATATTGGTGTGTTAGGGCTATGAAAAAGCATTTGCCCCCGCATTCATTCTTCAATTTCCCATTGTTTTAAGTCATACCTAAATGTTTCAGATCAAAAAATTATTTTCAGTAGCCAACAAAAATAAGTTCAGGAAATATAAAATGCATTTGTCAAATGCTTTAACAAAAATGTTTCCAAACCAACCTGTCTCTTTGCACAAAAGCAATTGACCTCTTTGTTAAACGATAAATTAACTGTGATTACACTCAGGTGTGATTACTGCCAGCCCAGCAGGATTTTAAAACTCTTCATTAGAGTCTGACAACATGAAGAAGGCTGAAGATCTCGACAAAAAGCACAAGACAAGTTTTAGAGAAAATCACAAACAAAAGAAATCCATCTAAGGTGCTGCAGGTCTCGGTTGGTTCAGGCTGAGGTCAAAGGCCATGATTCTATAGAACGAAAGAGTTTGGGGTCCAAAAATGGTTTCCATGGAAATATTCCAAATCCAAAACCCTTTACTGACCAAACAGAGCACAACGGCATAAAATCCTCTTGATGATCCTAAAGAATTTAGAAGAATATTCCGTGGACTCACGAGACAACAGCGGAATTCTCTGGAAGCTGTGTGTCCATTCCATCTATCAGAAGCTAAAGCAGGACAAAGGGGTAGAAGACCATTTTCATGTTCAACCTGCATGTTAAACTCAGTGTAAAAAACTTGTCAGTGAATCTGCCATTTAAAAAAACAGCTGCAAACAACTCATGACAAAAATCAATGCTTCACAAGTTTAAAAACTTTTGAATGACGTTATCTTCAAAATCTTTTATTGAATGTTTCCTCAAGTATTCCCATCACATCCAACTACATTCATTTTATAGTTAGAAATAAACAACTAAATGCTAAAAATGTTGAAACAACCTTAATTAGTTCACAATTAGGTAATAAATAATGTGAATGATAACAGAAAGAATGAATTTAAATAAATATTGTGTTTGATGAATTGAATAGCAATTAGGCTAAATTGAAACACATATTTTAGTTTAGTTATTTAGTTTGGATGACTGCAGGAGGTGTGCCTCTTATGCAGATAGAGCGAGTTAGAGTCAGCAACCTGTAAGTTAATAAAAAGTTATTTCTAACAGATGGAACAACAGATAATGCAATAAAAATCTCTGCTGTGGTGTTTTTGTTTCATGGTTAAGTAAAAATGATGCCTAATTCAAAAGCCAACGAAAGCAAAACTTTTAAAAACATTCAAACTTAAAACTACCTGCATGCATACCCTCTCATTTTGTCAGACAGTATTTCTGTGATTTTATTCTCCACATGAAAAAAGAAAGTTATTTCCCAGAACATCAATATACTCTGGTTTGTGGTGCGTTTACGAGCTAATCGTTACTGAAACAAATGGATAAGAGGAATACAACTGAAGCAAATATCGTTGCAGGGAGATTTTCTGAAGCAAGACATACAAGCAAAAGCTGGCAAAGTGTGGCTCTTCTTTGTTTTAGCTCAAGAAGAAAGTAAAAGAAAACTTATTGTAAAAGAGTAAATTCATTTTTAAAGGACTGCACAATAAAATACATCTTCAATGGCCCAACTCTACATGTTTCCAGAGCAAAATGTCACCAACTGAAGGAGAAATATTTCTCTCTGTTATTTCAAACAGCTTCTAGTTAGAAATATTATGACTTTAGATTGTAACTAAAGTGTTTTAGTTAGGAGAAATACCAATATAAGGGATTGTGTGTGTGTTTTAGACCTCTGCTCTACAGCTGTCCCCTCGTGGCTGGAGCCCAGAAAACTGTCTGTGCCAACAGAGTGGAGTTGTCCAGTCACCTCTGTTAGCTTTACAGTCCTGTTATGAAGCGCATCTGTTAGGTTAACAATTCTGAGTTTATGAGTCAATTTGTTAACAAAGTCAATTGTTGATTGTCGCTACTGACTGGTTGTGAGGACGTCCTCTGTTAGAATACCAAGTACATCTTCGTCGTCTTCGTCTTCCTCCGCTTATCCGGGTCCGGGTCGCGGGGGCAGCATCCCAATTAGGGAGCTCCAGGCCGTCCTCTCCCCGGCCTTGTCCACCAGCTCCTCCGGCAGGACCCCAAGGCGTTCCCGGACCAGATTGGAGATGTAACCTCTCCAACGTGTCCTGGGTCGACCCG